CTCACATCCTCGTCCCTGGCTATATGGGGAGAGACGAAGTCACTGAAACATTTGCTCCTTTGCCCCCACCCCGGTGGAAAGATTTCCTCTGCCGCTCGGCTCTGATGGAGCAGAGTTCCATCATTAGTCACTCCTTTGGATTTGAGGCTTTAATTGCTGAAAACCCCTGGGAGATCAGGGCCCCCCATGGAAGGTAGGTGGGTGGGTGATTCCCTTCAGTTATCAGGTTGATGACATCACCTAGTGGGCAAAGGAGGGAAAGGTAGAGAGCAGGATATGATACAGAGAAGTAGAGAGAAGGTGATATACTATAGCTTTTTGCAGGTCAAGAGGGATGTGGTCCTGGAGGGCTGGAGCTGGGTGATGGGTACCAGAAACCCTGAGCTTTGGCCAGGCATTACCCCTACCTCCCTTGCTGTGTACCTTGGGCCAGTGGCACAGCCTCTCTGGCCTCTGTGCCCCCTCAGCTCAATGACTGTTAGATCTTCTCCTTTCCACCTTGACCTGTGGGGTGTGGGTTCCAAAGGCTGGAAAGGCTGCAGGCTAATTCCTGGCTTCCACATGGACCGTCCCTCTTCTCTCTCGGCCAGGTATGTGGTAGGCAAGGGTGTGAAGTGGGCTGGGCCATGCCGGGTGGAGTGCAGCTGTGGGAGGAGGTTCCTGCCAGATGTGGAGGTTGGTCTGACTGGTCCCTGCTCTGTGCCCTGGGCCTCTCTGGCTGCCTGACTCAGCCATTCCCTGCCGGGTTCCCGTGTTCCTGCTGTTCTCAGAGCCTGCCTCAATGCCCACTTTCAAGGGCTCCTTGAGGTTAGCATTCCAGGCCTGTCTGATCAGTGGGTCAGGTTGGAAGGCTGTCCCTGCCGAGACCAGACTGTGGGGCCTATATCTTGTTGCTCCCTTCATATGAGGACAACAACAACCCTGTATTCCAGCCCCTACTCCACCCTCCCCTTGAGCAACTCTTTCAAAAGCAATGAGGATATGGGGATGACAGGGACCAGAAGGTGACAGCACCAAGAGTGAATGAAAGGAATGATGTTCCACCAGGCAGGCCTGCATTAGGAAAACCCACCCTAAAGACGTGCAGACTCGGCTGCTGGGACAGTGGTGGGAGGGTGGGGCCATGAGAGGAATCTGATCCTATTCGTTCTAGCAGTATCAGAGCCCCATGGCCAACCTGGCTGGGGGCTGTGACTAGAGGGGACTGCCTCTCACACCCAGCCATCTTCTTGATCTTCATCTCCAGCTGGAGCTGGGCCTGGGCCTTGCTGGTCCTGCCATGTGAGGAGCTGGGGGACTCAGAGCGGGCCATGGAGTCTGGCCAGGTAGAAGGCAGCCTGAGTGTTCTCTTTTTCGGTCCAGAAGGAGCAAGAACTGGTTCAGAATCACATGGGGGTGGGGGGTTTTGTGCCCAGCCTGCTTCTGGGGCCAGGCCCACCCTGGGTGTCCCTAGCCCCCTCCCCTGCCTGAACCCCTGGTTATTCTGGGAGCTTTTAGCTACCACTTAGTCAGCCACTAATGCGTCAGGCCGGGGAGTGAGGGGGGAGACACGGTGCCAGACGGTGCTCCTTTTAGACATCCAGAAGGGGAAGCAGAGGGGACTGGTCAGGCAGGGGGAGTGGGGTGGTGGGGGGATGCTGGAGGAGGGGAGGCTCTCCCAACCTGGCCAAGCTTGATGCTGGCCTTGCTGGAATGGAGGAATGGGCAACACTGGAGACTGACGGACAGTGGGTTGGTGTATCCTTGGCCTGCCGCACCTCTCCTCCCCCATCACACTCAGGGCCTCAGCCCACCTTCCTGATTCTTCTCTCATTAGGTCTCTGTACCTACCATATAGTCAGCTTTCCCACCTTTGCTCAGGCTGCTCGCCATGCCTGGAATTCTCTTCCTGCCTGTTCCTGACCCATCTAGTTTTGATCTGCCTTCCCCATCCCTTTGGATTCATAAGCAAGCAAAAAGGCGGATTTAGGGATGCGGCACTTTCTCCTGTGGCTGGGCCTTTGTAGGGGCAGCCCCTGGCCTGCTCAGCTCCTGCATGGGCAGGGCCTTGAAGGCCACCCCCTCCCTGGCCCAGCCCTCTCTGTGTCGGTGCCATGGGGCCATGGATCCTGGCCACGAAGGCTTGGTGCTGCCTTCACTTCCAGGCAGCCCTCCTGCTCCTGAGCCCCCAGCCCCCCGCTCCTGCGACCTGAACAAAGCTTCCTTTCATGTATTCATGGAGCTGCTGCCGCTCAGACACTTCCCCGGCACAATCAGGCCCTTTGAGGGCCTCAGGCAGTGCGGGAGCCGGGCTGGGGCTGGGGTGGAGAATGGGCCAAGGCCTCGTCCTGGGCCCGAGCTGGTGCCATCCCCCCATACACATCACCAGGCACAGAGCCGGGGGTGAGGTGGGGTGGGAGCTTGAGGGTCAAGGGAGGCAATGCTCCTGGGCTCCTCTTTGTCCTTCTGCAAAATGGGGGGAGCAGTCCCTGCCTCCCTGCCTCCCGGCAGCTGCACCCAGGATGTGAGGGGACCTGGGCTCAGGCTTGCAGATCAGTGCAGAACTGTCCTGGCCCTGGCACTGCAGCCCCCCTGCACCCCACCCAGCAGCAGGCAGCCCTCACCTGCCCTTTGTGTCCTTGGAAACACTTTGTGAGCAGCAGAGTTCTTTGCCAAGATGGTTTTGCTTGAGAGTTGTGGAGGCTTGCTTTGGTGTGCCTGTCTCACCCCTCTGACTGGATTCTAGGGTCGGGCCGGGCCTCCCCCTCAGACCTTGTTCTCCAGGGCTAGGCCATGCCTCTTCCATCAGGCTTGACTCCCCAGGGCAAGACTCTGTCTCCCCCATTGGACTAGACTCCTCAGGGCAGGAAATGCATCACCTCCCTTTGACAGCACTGCAACCCCCACACGAGATCTGTCTCAGGGCCCACTCCGGTGCCTCTTTCCCCATGACTGGAGCTCTGTGTTGGCTGTGCAGGCCCCTCCTCTGAGGCCTGGGCTGAGGTGACTGGTAGAGGTGGCCAGCAAGGACTGAGGGGTGCGGCTCCCTTTGGCCTGAGCGTGGGGGGACTTCAGATCTTAGGCTCTAGCCCAGCATCTCCAGATGCGGACATGAAGCTTTTCTTGGCCACCTAGCTGGCTGGGGGAGTGGGCGGGGAGCTGGGGCTGCAGACTGTTTGGATCCCTGGCTGGGCCTTGGGGACAGTGGCTACTGCTCAGGCTGCAGGTGGAAGGGGAGCCATGGGAGCTGAGTCAGGAAGTTCGCCTGTCTGTGGCCTGCTGACCCCAGCACTCTGATTTTCTGGCTGGAAAGGCCTGGGGGCCTGAGACCTGCCAGCCCTGCCTGAGCCTTGGGCAGTACTCCTCCTCCCACCCAGCATGGAGCTGGGCTCTCAGCCCCTTCCCTGCACAGCTGGGGATGAGGGGGATTGAGCCTCGGGGTGAGGAGCCCTGACATCCTGAGCTGCTCAGGCTGTCTGTGGAGTGCCCGAGGAGAGCCAGGTGAACCCCAGGGCAGTGAGCTCAGCACTTCTCTATGGCTCATGGTGCTGGCATCTCCCTGAACACTCCTGAGAACTGATACTCAGTCTGAACGAGCCAGTCTACCCTGCCTCCTAGTATGACCTTGGACTAGTGTGTCCTCTAGGGACCCTCAGTTCCGGCCTCTGTACAGTGAGCCAGGCCGCAGCTGAGGTGAAGACTGACAGTATCCCACTTCCAGGGATGACTTGGCCTTGCAGAGGTGTATCTTAAGGAAAGGGAATGCAGGTGTGGGTAACATGGGGTGTAGTGCTCCTTGCCCCTTGTTGAATGCAGAATCGGTAGGAATGGCTCAATGGCAGCAAGATGGATTTGGGGAAGACTTGAGGAAATGGCAGTTCTTTTTTGTCTGGGCTGGAGTGTGTCCTGCTTGGGTGTCATTGCTAGGCTGGCTGCCCCTGAGTTTGCTGCAGCTGAATAAGCAGTGGTCAGGCCGAGTTCCTGGGTGAGGCCCCAGGCTGGTCAGAAGTAGGAAGATGCTATCTGTGGCTGATTGCTGGGGGCACAGCCACAGGCCGTCCTGTCCCTATAATTTAGTCCTGCAACCAGGACAACCTCAGCAATGTCACCGGAGATGAGACATCTTCTCCCCGGAGGCGGTGGCTGCAGATAGTTTCTTTTTTGGGTAAAATTGTCCTGGTCAGCCCTTCTACTTAAAGGCCCAGGCTGTGCTCTGTGAAGGGCTCCCTGTCCCAGAGTTGCTGGGGAGGGAGGGCTGATCTTTACCCCCACAGCAGGCTGGCATTTCTGTGAAACCAGGCCACAGCAGGTCAGGCCGCAGAGTCCAGCTGGGGGCAGGAGCATGGGTTCTGATTCAGGGCCTGCTACTGACCGTGTGACCTTGAGCTGCCCCATTCTGGACCTCTGTTTTCCCATGTAAAATTGGAAGGAGTGGACGTTAAAATTCCTCTCCAGCTCTGATCTAAGCTGACTGGCTCACTAAGGGGCTGCAGTAGGCTGGGAGGGGTTGGAGAAGGCTTCCTGAAGGGTGGGATGGGGTTCTGAGCAAAGTGATTCCTGGGAACCTGAGCTCTAAGTGGGGTGCTCAGAGGCCCTGCTACCTGCAGGGGGTGAAGGTGGCTCTTGCTATGCCCTGGGAAGCAGAGCACCTCACAGAGCAGAGCCAGGGAGCCCTGGTCCCTCCTGCCCAAGCCCAGCCCTTTAGGAACAGTAGAGTGCATCTGTGTGTGTATGTGTGGGGTCTGTTCTTCCCAGGGGTCCCTAAATCCTGCCACTACCCTGAGGTCACACATATTATAGGGTAGGGGCCATGGCTTTGGGGTGAGGACAGCTAGTTGCTGGACCCCACCATGCGACCTCTCACTTCTCCCTCCCATGGCTCTAAGTCCTGGCATCGTCCTAGCCCAGACCCAAGCACTAGTTGCCAGGCAGGTACTGGTGTGCCTGGGGGTGGAGGTGGGGCCAGGATCTTCCTGCCCAGGGCCTAGTCTCAACATTTCTATCAATTGCCTCCTCCTCAGGCCGCGCAGGGCAGGACCGGGTGGACTTTGGCTCAGCCGAGCCTCACACGGTGCTTTTCCATGAGCCAGGCAGCTCTTCCGTGTGGGTGGGTGGACGCGGCAAGGTCTATCTCTTCGACTTCCCTGAGGGCAAGAACGCCTCGGTACACACGGTAAGCCTGGACCTCTCTGCCAGCCCTGGGGACACAGCTGAGCCCACCCCCATCTCTTTTCTGATCTCCCTCCTGGCCTTGGTGAGGGGCCTCGGGGAATCTGAAGGAGCTGGCATCTCTTCCTAAGCTGGTCCTCCCTTCGTTGTATCCTGTAAATAGTCCTTGGGAGGCTCCCTAAAGGTAGTCCAGATTGGGATGGGTGTTGGGGTGGTATGGAGAAAAGCCTGGAGCTAACACCCCATGGCCCCTGTCTTCTGAGATCTCAGGCTGGCCCTGAGCTTCAAGCTTTGGCTCCAGGCATCAGGCTGAGCAGCCTGTGTGATCTTGGGTAAATCACTCACCCTCTCAGAGCCCTAGTTTCTCATCTGTAAAGTGAGCTTGTCCTAGGGATGCATGGAAAGCACTTACAGGGGCAGCTTGCCCTGGCACAGTGGACTAATGCTTTCCGCCTTCCTCCTAGGTGAACATTGGCTCCACGAAGGGGTCCTGCTTGGACAAGTTGGTGAGTCAGGGGAGGGAGTGCAGAGGGGAGGCTGAGTTCCTTGGAAAAGGTATGGGAGTCCCTGAGAATCTAAGGAAGGAGTCTTGGCCCTGCCTTGGGAGCCCTAGTCTGGGAGTTGAGAGGCAGCCCTGCTCCAGGGTTCCCAGTCTGAGAGGGAGACACACTTCTTCTCTGGGGCATCTGTGTCCTTCCTCTGTTCCTGGGGGGCTGGACTCAGCTGCACCCCCTCTGGGCTCTTCTTGGGGGCTGCCTCCTGTGCACAGACTTCTGATGCCTTTTTTCCTAAGTCTGAGGGTCCTGGTGCTAGGCCTGCCAGGGCCTCCAACCGACCTGTCTCCTTTTCCTTCCCCCTGCAGGACTGTGAGAACTACATCACGCTCCTGGAGAGGCAGGGCGAGGGGCTGCTGGTCTGTGGCACCAATGCCCGGCGCCCCAGCTGCTGGAACCTGGTGAGAAGGCCCCTCCCCATGTGCCTTCAGCTCACCCTCGTCTGGGGGGGCTTCTGCCCCTGATGGTGGGAAGGAGGTGGGGGAACTTTGAGGCTGACTTCACCTTGTATAGAGTCCCTGGGAGGATGGGGACCCTGGCTGGGAAGCTGGCACCCAGGGGAGGCAGTGGCCATGGGATCATGTGGCTGTCTGACCCCCTTGGTCTCTCCCAGGTGAACGGCACCGTGGAGTCGCTTGGTGAGAGGAGAGGCTATGCCCCCTTCAGTCCAGATGAGAACTCCCTGGTTCTATTTGATGGTAGGGCTGTGACTGGAGCCCCGGAGGGCTGCTGCCCTAGCCTGGGGGAGGGTGGTCAGCTCCGTGTCCCGTGGCCCAGGCCCTGGGGTGGGACTTCTAGGAGCTATCTGCTCTTACCCATGCCTCTCCCACCATACCCAGGGGACGAGGTGTACTCCACAATCCGGAAGCAGGAATACAATGGGAAGATCCCTCGGTTCCGTCGCATCCAGGGCGAGATCGAGCTGTACACCAGTGATACTGTCATGCAGAGTGAGTCAGGCTCTGCTGGGCTGAGGTGGACAAAGGGGTGTGAATGTGCAGGGCGGCAGATGAGATCTTCATGTTCCCTGGGAGGGCTCCTGGAAGGCTGCTGGGGCCACAGGCCATCAGGAAAGCAGGAGCTTGGTACAGGCCTGAGTAGCCAGAGCTGAGGAGTTAGCCTGGCAGGGAGCAGGGGAACAGCAGAGACAATGATGTGAAGACAGGATGGGCCCAACACACTCTGGGAACAAAATGCAGGAAGACCCAGGCCCAGTGTGGGGTCCCTGGGAGCCATAGTATATCCCTCTGCTGAGCTCATGTGGGAGTAACACCCCCACCATCCTCATTAGGGCTCTGCCAATTAGGCAGAAGTGACATAGGGGGCCCCAGGGACCTCCTTACAATCCCCAGGCATGAAGTCATTGCTCCTGGGCCGATGACACCTTTGTATGAGAGAGCAAAACAGGTGTGGGTTCGGGGTGCAGAGTCTCAGGGCCCTTGGGGTGTTGGATCTGATGTTCTGAGTTTTATCCCAGATCTGATTTGCCCCACAGACTTGGGGCTTGTGCAGGGTTGGGGTGGGTGCTCTGAGCAGGCTCCCCAGCCTCACACCCGTTCGCCTGCATCCCTGGCAGACCCTCAGTTCATCAAGGCTACCATCGTGCACCAAGACCAAGCCTACGATGACAAGATCTACTACTTCTTTCGAGAGGACAACCCTGACAAGAATCCCGAGGCCCCTCTCAACGTGTCCCGCGTGGCCCAGCTGTGCAGGGTGAGCGAGTGGCTGAGTGGGCAAGACTGTGTGTCTGTGCCTGAATGGGAGTGAGTGAGTGTGTGAGTGCCTGTGTGCAAATGTGCATGTTTGTGTAAAGGAGTGTGTGAAACGTGTGAGTCTGTGGGATTGTGGAAGTAAATGTGTGTGTACAAGAGTGTGCATCTTTGGGTGGGTAAAGATGGTTAGGCTCCTGTGCATGTGTGATAGTGTACAAATGTGTATATTCGTATGAGTGTATATGGGTGTGTGCATGAGTATGAAAATGTGCTTAAGTGTGTGTGTGTTTCACTTGCATGAAGGTGCTGGGATTGTGAGTCCATGTCACGTGTGTGAGTGTGCATGTGTGAGAGTGGGCAAATGTGTTTCTGAGCTGCTCTGCTCTGTGGGGACCTGATACCCTTACCCTGCAGGTCCCCACTGCTGGCCGTGTGCTCTGGGTCAGCCAGGCCTGCCGGCTGGAGCCTGACCCAAAAACCTGGCCTGAGTCATGGGGCATCTCTGCCTTGTCCCTGGCAGGTCCTGGCCCCTTTCAGAGCCTCCCTTCCTCCTCTGAAGCCTGGGTGCTGGCATCCCTGGCAGCAGGTGCCTCAGGTGTGGGATAGCCCGTGGGAGTGCTGAGTGGCCTCCTTTCCCCTCTCCCCTTCCAGGGGGACCAGGGTGGTGAGAGCTCATTGTCGGTCTCCAAGTGGAACACTTTCCTGAAAGCCATGCTGGTGTGCAGTGACACCGCCACCAATAGAAACTTCAACAGGCTACAGGACGTCTTCCTGCTCCCTGATCCTAATGGCCAGTGGAGGGATACCAGGGTCTATGGTGTTTTCTCCAACCCCTGGTGAGTGACCCTCGTCCTGGGGCTGGCATTGGTTAAATGTCCAGTAGGGGTTGGAGGGCGTGGGCCCTGCTGAGGGGATGGCTGACGTAGCATGAATAGGGACTCCAGGCTCAATCGACAGGGCTGTTGCTGGGCCTGGGGCAGGAGACAGTCAGTGCTCAGGGAGATGTGTGTGCTGGTATGGTTGTGAGTCTGTACACATGGGCGTGCGTGCACATGCCGTATGCACATTCATGGCTGCACCTGTGTCTGTGTGCCCACCAGTTGTGTGCTCAGAGCAGGGGCTGGGCCCTGGGAAAAGTCTGCTGAGGCCTCTCGGGGTGCTGGGTGCTATCACACCTGCTTGGGCACTGCCTGCGTCTGAGAATTCACACCTCTTAATCACTCTTATTGATTGAAAACAAGGCAGGCAAAAGTGTTGAGTGTGTGTGGGGAGAGGTGGGGGAAAGGGTGGGGAAGCCAAGGCCCTGTGGCTCCTGTGTGGGTGGACCCGGCCGGGCTGAGAAGGAGACATGGTTCTGGCCTCCTTGGGTGTCAGTGTCCTGCAACTGTGCCCAGAGAGGTTGGAGAATCACCCCCAGGGATGCACAGGTTGGGAGTCCTCCTGCCCTGGGGTTGGCCTCTGAACTCAGTGATTCTGTGACAGAACACAGGTTGTAGTTTTAGATGGCAGCAAAAAGGAATTAGGTTGAACTTCCTTCCCTCTCTCCCTCAATGGTGTTTGGCCCCCAGGATAGTCCCTGCCCTCATGGAACTCTCAGGCCAGGGAGCTTGGTGGGAAGGCTGCGTTTGTCTGCAGCACCCTGTCTGGTGCTAGGCTGGCCTGGGTGAGTGGAGGTGGGTGGGTCTTGGGCCTCCCCTGAGGTGGGCTCTGTGTCCCCGCAGGAACTACTCGGCTGTTTGTGTGTATTCCCTTGGTGACATTGACAAGGTCTTCCGCACTTCCTCGCTCAAGGGCTACCACACGGGCCTTCCCAACCCTCGGCCTGGCAAGGTGAGCTGTGACACCCGCCATGACCCAGGCCCCAGCCCCACCTCCCCGCGACCCCACTGACCTGGACCTGTTCTTCTTGCCCAGTGCCTCCCAGACCGGCAGCCGATACCCACAGAGACCTTCCAGGTGGCCGACAGTCACCCTGAGGTGGCGCAGAGGGTGGAGCCCATGGGGCCTCTGAAGACACCATTGTTCCACTCTAAGTACCACTACCAGAAAGTGGTCGTCCACCGCATGCACGCCAGCCGTGGGGAGACCTTCCGCGTGCTTTACCTAACCACAGGTGAGGGGCCACCTGCAATCCCCTGGGTCTGCTTTGTAAAAATCGATATGAAAGGTATAAAGAATAATGCAGTTAACATCAGGTTGGATCTTTCTACCTGGAAAGAAGAATTCAGTGACTAAGCGCTGTCAGGGGTTAGTGGAAGAATCAGGCAGGTAGGACTTCCTGGAGGAGGTGGGGGCAGAGGGAAAAGGGGAAGGCATCCTAAGATGGGAGAAGAGCAGGTGCCGGGATTCAGAGGCAGAAATGTGGCGAGTCTGAGCAAAGCCAGTGCAGATTTGGTCCAAATGTCTTACTCATGAAGATGGTAGGAAGAGCTATGGAAAGTCAGGGAAAAGGACCTGGTCACTGGGTATCCTGTGGGTCTCTGCCACGGAGAATAAGGAAGTCAGACCCTCTTCCTGTCTTTGGGATTATGCAAGTGTGAGGAAGCATTTGATGTGGGGTGCAAAGAGTGTAGTGAGATGTGAGGAAGGACTTCCAGATGACAGAGCCTTTGCAGTCTTGCAGAGGACTGCAGAGGCACCTCCTCTTCTCTGGAGGAGGCTTCCCTGGGGAAGCAGGGTCTTGCTGACCCCAGCAGCTGGGTGGGATGCTGTGAGAGATGCCCTTGCATTCTGGGAAGCTTCCAGCCATGGAGGAGGCAGCCCTGAGCTGGGTTTATGGCAGCTTCCTGGTCCCAGGCCATGGGCAAAGGGGGCTCCTGGCAGCAGGCCTGGAGGTGAGTGTTGGCAGGGCTGCAGGCCTTCCTTGAGACTGGGTGGTGGTGCCATCAGAAAGGGCAGTGTCTCCCTCAGGTGCCTAGCACCTCTGGGGCCACACAGTCCAGGCCTCAGGTATGCTCCTCATTTGCTCACGCCAGCTACCCCCACCCACCATGTGACTTCCTCCTGTTGCTTCACCTTGGGGTTTTCTAAGGGTCATTTGTTTCTAAGTGGCCTCATTTGTTTGGTTCCTGGAAGCCTCTGGGACAGTAATTTCCCACTGAGCAGGGCCTGGCTTCTGGGTCCTGAGACCCCACCTCTTTACTCCTCCATTCATCCTCGCTGCACTCACTGGCCCCTGTCCTTGCTCACCTCCAGCAGCGGCTGGCCTAGCTGTTGTGGTCAGCCAGGGGGACGTTGGGGCACTGGGATACAGGAGAGGAGGGGTCACACATGCAGGACTGGGAGCTGGGCTTGGGCTGAGGGAACCGTGGGCTCCCTTCCTCCAGACCTGGGAGGCCAGCACACTTGAGTGACGAAGGCAGCTGTCTCAATTCTCCCTGAGGGCCATCAGAGAGACACCATTTTGGAGCCTGTAGCAAGAAGAATTGGGGCCAGAGAAGAAATAGAACTTTCTAGGCCATTTGCAGAGAATGGGAGGCTCTCATAGCTGGGAAAAGCCATGGCAGTCTGTCATGGGGCTGTTGTGGAAGGAGGAGAAGGGCATTGTGTGTATAAAGGCAGTGACTGGGCTGGGAGCTAGCTAGGCCAAAGGAGCATCGGGCCCCTCCCAGAGCTGCAGAGCGGGGCTCACAGACACTAGAGGAAACTCTTAGGCAGGCGATCATCTGCTCATCTGACTGCTTTTTTGGGGCAAGTGATGCCCTGGGAAATTGGGAGGGAGGAAGAGGGAGGTAGGCTATTCTAGAAACTGGGACAGCGGGTGAGGTGGGATTGGGAAAATGCAGGGGTCAGGATGCCTACTGGTCCCCCACAGGTGTGAATGGAGAGAGCACTGGTTTGGGAGGCAGCAGCCTAATATGTGAACCTGGGAATCCCTATGTGGAATCTAAGGTCCTTTTCAGATCCAAGATTTTATAAAAATTAAAAAATCCCCTAAGACTAAATGCAATGTGGGGTCCTGGATTGGATCCTGGAACAGACAAAAGGCATTAGTGGAAAAACCCGTGATATCCCAGTAAAGTGTGTAGTTGAGTTAAATGTGCCTTGTCAATTGTTTGGTTGTGACAAATGTGCCACAGTTACATAAGATGGTGATGTGAGGAGAAACTGGGTGAAGGGTATCTGGGAACTCTGTACTATCTTTGCAACTTTTCTGTAAATTTGAAATTGTTCCAAAATAAAAAGGTTGTTTAAGTAATCCTCAGAGAGTCCAGGAGGCAGGGGAGTCAGAGAAGAAGCTGAGGGGTGGCATTTTGATGCCTGTGGGTTCCAGTCACCAGCTGTGTGACCTTGAGCAAGTTGCTTAGCCTTTCTGAGCCGCATTTACGTGTCTTCGAATTGGGGAAGATAAGACCTCCAGAGTGTGGAGGATTAAAGGAGGTAATGCTAATGTGTAGGGCAGATGTGGGGCGCTTGGGACTGCTGGGGTTCTGTTCTTCATGCTCCAGCTTCCCCTGTGGCCTTGGGGAGCCCTGGGCCTCTTGGGAGGGCCTCCCTGGCCCAGCCTTAGAAACTTCCTGGGTTGCCCTCGGGCACCCATGTCCCTCCCCAGTCACGCCCTCTTTTCCACACCCCACCCCAGTCCTGTGACCCTCATCTGAGCCATGACTTCCCAGCCTCCCTCACCCGTGTCTTTCCTGGGCCAGCCCAGCCTAGAGACAGGCTGCCTGGCTCCGTGGTGGGACTCCTGCCCACTGACCCTCTGCCTCCCGCCCACAGACAGGGGCACCATCCACAAGGTGGTGGAGTCAGGGGAGCGGGAACGTAGCCTCGTCTTCAACATTGTGGAGATCCAGCCCTTCCGCCACGCAGCTGCCATCCAGGCCATGTCACTGGACGCTGACCGGGTGAGCTTCCCCATCCCCACCTCCACCCCTTAGGGCTACCCAGTGATGGCCAGCCGAGGACAGAGATACTTTGCATGTGATTTGCATGTCCTTTCCAGAGCCTCTGGGCCCCAGGGCCTGCCAAACATTTGGAACTGTGTCCTGGGGCATAGAGCTCAGTGTCGGCATGGGAGCCCTGGCCTGACTGAGTCCTATTCCCTTTTCAGCGGAAGCTGTATGTGAGCTCCCAGTGGGAGGTGAGCCAGGTGCCTCTCGACCTATGTGAGGTCTATGGTGGTGGCTGCCACGGCTGCCTCATGGCCCGAGACCCCTACTGCGGCTGGGACCAGGGCCGCTGTGTTTCCATCTACAGCTCCCAAGAGTACGTTCCCCAGGATCCCTTGTTCCCGGGAGAAGGTAGACGGGAGTGTGGGTGGTGTTGACGGGCTGCAGGAGGCAGCCCTCTGGACCCTTCTGGCCAGACCCTCCTCTGGTGGACACAACTGCTGATACTGGGTGGGGGGTGAGGACAGAGGAGGGGCCAGACCTGCAGCTTCCTGTCTGCTTAGCCTCTCTCCTCCTTCCAACTCCAGGCCGGTGCTGCAGTCCATTAATCCAGCTGAGCCACACAAAGAGTGCCCCAACCCAAAGCCAGGTACCTGATCTGGCCCTGCTGGGGCCCCAGTCCAAGGAGGGTGGTACAGCCATGTCCCATTGCCCTGTCTGAGGGAGACATGGTCTGGTCCTGGCAGCCTCAGGCAGTGGGACAGGACGGTCCTGTGGAGGGAGCCCCCTTGGTGTGGGCGTGGTTGGGAGACGGGTGGGGTGAGGGAGGTGGGGAGAGTAAGGATGACACTGGGCGCCAGTTTCCCCATGTTCATTTAGAAGCCTTGGCCTTGGAGGCCAGTCAGTAGGGGAGGACACAGCCTGCCCTGAGAGCCCTTGGCCCCTCCTCACAGTGGCCTCCCATCCCTCCCCAGATGAGGCCCCACTGCAGAAGGTTTCCCTGGCCCCGAACTCTCGCTACTACCTGAGCTGCCCCATGGAGTCCCGCCATGCCATCTACTCATGGCGCCATGGGAAGAATGTGGAGCAGAGCTGTGAGCCCGGCCACCAGAGCCCCAACTGCATCCTGTTCATTGAGAACCTCACAACCGACCAGTATGGCCACTACCACTGCGAGGCCCAGGAGGGCTCCTTCTTCCACGAGGCTCAGCACTGGGAGCTGCTGCGTGAGGACGGTGCCACTGCTGAGCACCTGCTGGGCCACGCCCGCACCCTAGCGGCTTCCCTGTGGCTAGGTGCCCTGCCCATGCTTGTTCTTGCCCTCTTTGTCCATTAGGGCCTCATGGGGCTGGGCATGCTGCAGGCTTCTAGTGCCAAGGGCACTAGAAAAGTCTCACACCCAGAGCTGTCCGGGCCTGGGAGCTCCTTAGCCACCACTTCTTCCAGGGGGACTGCATAACCCGATGGGTCACCAGGCCTGGAGATGGCCAGCCGCGGGCGGCTGCTGGGCCTGGGTCGGGTGGGGGTGTGGGAGCTGGAGAACGAAGGCACTGACTGTGAAGCTGGGGCATCGGTGACCCAAGACTTTATCCTCCTGAAACTATTTTTCAAAAACTCCTCCTCAAACTTGACTAAATGCAGTGATGCTCCTGGCCCAAGAGCCAATTTGGAAAGGAGAGCTGGGACCCCATCTCTGGACCTTGGGACCGAGACCTGAGTCCTTCCGGACTCGCTATACCCAAATTGCCCCCTCACCCTCCCTCCTGCCATGGCTGGGGGTGGCTGGTGTTCCTGCAGGCCCAGGGCCGCCCTCTGCGGCCACCTCGCCAGCCCTGAGCCCACTAGGCAGCCGCCTTGCATGTTTATTGAAGGATGTTTGCTTTCCGGACAGAAGGACGGAAAAGGCTCTATTTTTATGTTAGGCTTATTTCATGTATAGCTACTCTGACTGCATCTGTATGAAAATACCAAAACTACATACTGGGGGTGGGGTGGGAGAGGGAGGGGCTGGGAAAGGGATGGATTGTGGGGGGTCCCAGTTGGAGGCTCCTGGGGATGGGATAAGAGGCCAGGGATGGGCATGGTTTCAGGGAGAACGGCATGAGCTGACTCTGCCCTGGAGCCCAGTCTGAGGGGACATCGTCCAAACCCTGGTGTGAGGGTGGTTATGGGAGGGGGTGGGGTGAGGGAGACAGGGGAAAATGAAGGAGAAAACTGAGCCCTAGGTTCACCAAGTTCATTTAGAAGGAGGAGCCAGGTCCTCGGGGAGGTTCCAGGACTCTGCCCTTGGCATTGGGGGTTGGGGGGTGGGGGGGCCTCTCCCCTCCCCTCAGCCCCCTTCCCCAGGGGCTGTGCTTCCATGCTCCTAGCCTCCCACCTTCAGCTCAGGACATGTTATAACTTAGGCTAAACTGTGAATTCCGGTGGGGACGGCCTGGGCCAAACTCTCCAGGTGGGCGGCTCTGCCCCCGGCCCTGTCCAGGGATTTCAGCAGAGAGCTGGGCCCCTCTCTGGCTGTGTCAGGCCAGCCCGGGGCAGAGCCTGGGGCTAGCGGCCTTCCAGCTTCGGTCCCTGCATCTCTTCTCAATGCACTTTAATAATGTAACATATTACTAATAAACAAGCTATTTATTTACCTGTGCCTGCTCCTTGCCTTCAAAGCCATTCTAGTCAGAGGGTGAGGGTGGGGGCTCCTGTTTAGGACTCAGCACCTCCTGCCTGTGTGAGCATCACTGGCCCTCTCCTTGGAGCCTTAGAGCTGAGGAGACACTCAGCAGGGCTCCAAGCCAGTGAGAGGCAGGAATGAGATCTGAACCCATGGCTCCTGAGCAGTGCACAGCCTGCTGAGCCTTTGACCCCGGAGCCCAGGCAGCTCCTGCACCCCACCTCCCCGCCGCACACCTGGGGAGCTGGCCTTTCCCCCTTCCCCGCCTGTACCTCCCCCAACTTCCCTTGGGAGGCCTGGCCTGCCAGCTGTGCTAAAAACAGCCTCTGGCCTCCCTCCCTTCAAGGGGCCCATTCTGGGAGGGAAAGCTGATGAAATAGAACCTGGTGGGATAAACGTGTGGTGATCGAAGTGTGTGTGTGCAAGAGGCTAGGGGACCCTGGAGGTGGTGCCTGAGTGCAGATGAGGTACTCACTCCAGGCTGGGCTGCCAGGCAGCGCAAGGGTCTGGATGAGGGCTGCATGCAGAGGGGATGGGCGGGAGAACAAGGTGGGACTAGTGGGCAGGGTTTGAGTGCTAGCCCCAGAGCTTGGCTTTTCAACCCCCAGGGCAGTGACAAGGCCTAGAGTGGGATTTATGCCTTAGAAACTCCTCCAAGATAAAGCAAATAGGTTTTAGAACCCAGAAGGACATGGGAGAAGGGCTCTCAAGGCTGGGGTGGGACTTGGGGAGGTGAGTTAGAGGCTGTTCAGGGGGCTGGGGGCAGGACAGGGATGGAGGGGAGGCCCGCTGGGGGATGTGGAGAGGACCCCGGATGTCTCCCAGAGGCCTCTCCCATCTTCTCCTCTGTCCTCCCTTTGTTCCCTTTTCACCTGCCACTTGCTACAGGGACCCAGGCCTTTTGGGGTTTGCTGGGAGTTTTTCCTGAGCCGTAACTGCTGGAGAGGGGGATGTGGCAGACTTGAGACAGCTCCCCTCTCTGAGCCTGAGCCCAGCTTCTGGGCGGCTCTCACAGACCCCACAGGGCTGGCATAGCACCTACCCAGGGCACTCCCTCCCACCTCAGTCTGCCCTGTCTCTCCTGGGCCAGCCCTGCACTGAAGATGCTGCCTGGTTCTTTCCTTTCCCACACCCAGCTTCCCAGGGTGGCCAAGGGGCTCTGGGTCAGGAGTCTTGGAGTTTGGGGGACCCGGGAGAACTTTGGGCTGGGGGCAGAGACTTGGGCCACCATCACCCTTCCTGATCCCGGGCAGACCTTGCCTTCCTTTAGCCTCGGTCTCCTCGTGTAAGAGGAAGGGGCTGGACCAGGGCTTCTGTGGGGCACCCGCCTTCTTGCACACTGTTCTGGGTTCTAAGACCAATATGCTTTGTCCTGGAGGAGCTCAGAGTCTATGTCCCGGCTCCGTCCGTCTGTCTTCCCAGCTCACAGCCAAGCAGCAGCAGCAGCACAGGGGCTTCAGGGCTCCCCTCAGCAAGGCCTCGAGAGTAGGGGAAAGGATGGATGCAGCAGGTTCCAGGAGCGGCTAGTGCAGAAAGTGTGAGCTCAAGCTCTGGCCCCGCCTAGATTGCTAGGTGACCTCCAGTGAGGTCCCTGCCCTCTCTGGACCTCAGCAGGCTCCCTTTTTCCTGTGGGGATGCTCTTGGTGCCCTGATGGCCTCCAGGAGGTGACTTGAGGGATGGAACACACTCCTTTGTCTCTATGGAGGCACCAGGAGAGGCCGGGCAGGAGGAAGCCGTGTGCATTGATGCATGAAATGAGCCCGTGTAAATCCCATGTAAATGAGCTGGTGGGGAGGGGACAGGCTGGGCACAGGCTCCTGCCCTGTTTTTCCCTGATGGGCAAGCAGTACAGCAGGCCTCAGACAGCGGTGGGTGGCAGGACTGTTAAGCTGGGCCCTGGACGGCGCGGAGAGTTGCGCTATATTCTGATGCCAACATCAGACTCTTGGAGACCAGGCTGCAGCCAGGTGCAAGGCCCATCTTTCTGCCCTCTGTCTTGTACATCCCCGCCTCTCACGGGAGTGGGGAGACCAAAGCTGTGAAAGACCAAAGCTCAGCTCTCCTGGGGAAGCCAATAGGGAACCGGAGACTCCTATATGCCTCCCTCCGCTTCATAAATCTAAAGGGCCACAGTCAGTCTGTGTCCCGCCATCCTGTCTCTCTTGGGGGAAGGCCACAGCCTTCTCATCTCTCCACTGCCTGATGTCCTGACTGCCATTCACAGCCCCGCACACCCCTGTCTTCTCTATCCTTTTCTCCCCTAAGTCTTCTACCGACTTTTGCTGGAAATACTCCATACCTTTGCTCCTGTGAGTCTCTCCCCTGGAATGCCAGGAGTAGGATGATCCCAGGCAGAGGTTTCAGAATGACCTTGAATTCTTCAGAATTCAAGAATTCAGAATTCAGAGGAATCCTGACCATCCCCTCCACCACTACCACTAATGCCTCTGCCTGCTCAGTGGGGGAGATGGAGCCTGAAGGTGGGTGTGCCTGGAATCAGGCCCTGGGGTCCTGGCACAGGAAGGCACAGGCCCTGCCCTCAAGACCGTCGCAGCCTGGTAGGGGAGGTGGATGTGGGGCTGGATGGTGAGCGTGCATGTGATTATCCTAAGAGCGAGGGTACCCAACCCTTTGCAGGGGTCAGGGAAAGCTGTGGATGGGCCTCAGGGGATGAGTAGAAGTCCCCTAGGTGGAGAAGTCTGAGCAATGGAAGAGAGAATAGCATTTACAAAGGCCTGGGGGCGTGCAAGGGCCTGGGGTGTTATGGGCTTGGCTGCAGTAATGTGAGCTCCAGGAAGGTGGAGAGAATCTTGTCAGTTGCGGTCGGTCGCAGCTGCATCTCTGGCACCCAGAACAGTGCCTCCAACACATTCTTATCGACTGAATGAGATGAAAGGGGAGAATGTCTGGAAGAGAGATTGAGTGACTCCGTTAGGGCCAGCTCCTGGGAGCTAGGGCCCCAGATCTGTAACCTGCAGGTTCTAGGGAGCCACTGAAGGATTTTGAGCAGGGGTGGAATGAGTGATTTTGGTAGCAATGGTAAGGATGATGGGGACCTGAGACCCAGTTCTTCTCACACTTCATCCCTGCATACCTCCCTCCATGCTCACCCCTGCGTCGCCAGGCATTTCCAGCTGCCTCCAATTTTAGGCTCTCATTGTTTAGAGAAGCAAGTGGAGAGTCTGGGTTGGGCCATCCCAGCTAGGGCTCGGGCCAGGACGTCTGCGGGCGCGGGCTGGTGGAGTGGGACTGAAATGGCTAATTCAGTCTCAGGAAATACTTTTATGTTGGTATTGGTTAACTGTGGGAGGAAGAGGCCTTGGGAAAAAACAAAAACAAAGCCCACATTCCCAAGGTCACCAGTGGCCACACGAGGAAAGAGCAGGACTACACCCAGGAGGCACTTGCCCTGTTAGTGTGCTGGTGCCTTTCTGTAGGGCAGTGCCCATGCCTGAGCTGCTGGACGCACAGCTGATTAAAGTCTCAGAAGTCAGACTGGCAGTTTTTTCAGGTTGAGCAAAATGAGTGGGCTCAGAAGGGCTTACGTGGAGGTGAACACGTGCTTAGGGCTGGGCCTGTACCACCTGGGCAGACACATGACCTGCAACTTTATCCAGCTTGTGAGGCCTGCTCATGTCCATAGCAGACATCACCAATCAATTGTGGCATTCCTTTCTTCTGAGCTCACATGGCCATTTCCTCTGGAACTGCATTCTCCTAGGGCTACTGAGCACTTGAAATGTGGCTCATTTGAACTGAGATATGCTGTAAGTATAAAGGACACACTGGATTTTGAAGATGTCATATGAAAAGGAGAATTTACCTTATTAATAAATTATTACATTGATTACACGTGAAGTGAAAATGTTTTGATATATTGGGTTCAATAAAATATATTGTAAAAGTTAATCTCACCTGATTCTTTTACTTCTATTTAATGTGGCTACTAGAAAATTTAAAATGACCTGTGTGGCTCACATTAGATTTCCATTGGACAGCACTACAGTAGAATATTCGCAGGGAATGTTGTCTTTTCTATTCATGCTAAATCTCCAGTACTTAGAATAGGGCCTGGCATACAGTAGGTACTCAATAGCTATTTGTGGAATGAACGAATGAATCCTGATCAACACTGCCCTCCAGGGAACCACCCCCAGTTGAGCAGATGGACCGTATTTGCTACGCAGAGGCTGCGCAGGAGCTCCAGTACAGGGCTGAAACCCCCTGTTTACGCTTTCTGATTTTAAAACTTGTATCACTGCCTCCGGACTTTCCCAATACCCAGGAGGGGCAGTGCGGGGGCACTCTGGTGAATGTGCTGCGTCCTCTGAAAGGGAACTTTTCAGTTCCTTCTGATAAGGAAGCAGAGCAGCGTGCAGCTAAGGAAGTCACCTCTCATGGGTGTTTGCATGTCTGCGGGTGCTGCTGGTTCACTTCCTGGCCCAGCCCCTGGTCCCTAGGGACAAAAGAGGAAGCTCTGGAGACTTTGAGTTTCAGGGCGAACCGGGACCACCTTAGTGTTTCCCCAGCAAGCAAGGGCTGTAACCGGGAGCATCCTTGTGTCTCCAACCCAGCAGGAGCCTAAAAATAGGCTGCAGTTCCAGCTTCCCCTGCAGTCACCCTTGCTGAGTGGAGCTGTGGGCCCGTCAGCTCCTCCGCAGCCAGACTGTCTGCATGGTCTGCCCCAGCCACTGACTCCCACCCCTGTCTGCTTGGCCTCCGTCCCACCCTAGCCCCTGGGGACCCTGAGCTCAGCGCTCCCACTGTAAGGCCTGTTAAGGGTCTGCCTACTGCTCTGCCCTCCCAAGCCAACTGGACCCTGACTCCCCGGACCTCCAAAGCCCACGCTCTGTCCACTCTCCTGCTCTTGGGAGATATTAGCCAGACACAGAGGTAGGCTGAGGGTGTTCCAGGGAGTGGAACCAGCATGTGCAAAACCAAGTGGTGTGAGAGACCAGGGCACGTGAGA